AAATTAAAAATTAAAAATTAAAAATTAAAAATTAAAAATTAAAAATTAAAAATTAAAAATTAAAAATTAAAAATTAAAAATTAAAAATTAAAAATTAAAAATTAAAAATTAAAAATTAAAAATTAAAAATTAAAAATTAAAAATTAAAAATTAAAAATTAAAAATTAATAGTCAGTAAGTACGCTTTTCAATGATCAACATCTTATAAATTATATTAATTATATTCTAATCCTTAATGCATTGCATCTTATTAGGTCGTAAGCATAATAGTTTAATTTTATTTTAAGATCGGAATTTAATGATCAAAATTAAATAATAACCAACACTGTAATGCTTAACTACTAGCTTGTAAGTATATTAATAACCAGAAATGTTGGCTTTCTTATAAACAATGTTTCTAATCAACTTATGACTTGCTTTTAAATTATTAGATGGTAAGGATAATTTCATGACATTTAATGTTTTATGCTCGAATTAAGTTATTTCTTTTATTTACGTAATTGCATTCTATCTATATACACATATATGTACATACGTAAATTAATTTATTAGAACGTAAGTTTCCAAATAATTTCGTCACATTCAATGCTTGTAATTACTACATTTTCTTTATTTACGAAAATGCATTATATATATTAATTGATTAGCTGGTAAGTTTCAAAATATCAGATTTAAGAAATTTGAGTCAAATGATTTTCATAACTGATTTGTGTTCTCTGTAATTCTGTATTCTGTATTATAGGAAGTGAGTAATAATATTTTTAAGAAATATTTGACGATTAAGCATTTTTTTTTTTAATTAATTTTTATAACCGTTCAATTTTTTTATCCTATTATTAGCTGGTGGGTATAAGTTATATAGTGTGATATATAATAATTATAACATTCTTTTTTCTAATAAATTTTTACTAATATGATACTATTGAATACACTATTGACTTTTTAGTCTGTGAGTATAATTATCATAATATTCGTCTTTTTATGTAGACATTTCATGATTAGACACTTACCTAATTTTTATGACTATAGACGGTATGCATAAGTTTATAATGTTGGTTTTTTAGGCATTTTTTTTTGTTCTTTTTTAGCTTATTTTTGCATTTTGTATATTCTAGGATGTGAGTATAATTTTATAATGCCATCAAAATTCTACGTTCTTTATTAATTATTTCTATATTCAAAATTTATAACTTAATGCACATGTTATATAGGGCGTAAGCATGCATAATTTATGATTTATTGTATTCCTGCTTTTTTAAGAATTCATTTTATGACTTATCTATTCTTTTATTATTAGATTGTGAGTATAAGTTCATTTTTTTGATATGACTAGTGATGAACAAATCCAATGCGCATTATGTATCTGTCATGAAATAATTAGACATACATGAGTATAGTACAGGCCAAATTGTTCCAGTTATAAAAAATTTGCGCATTTGTTCATCACCATGTACAGTGAATTGTTATTTCATCATTTTTTTTACAATTTACCTCATTTCTATATTTTCTATTAAATTAGGCGGTAAGTAATTTAAAAAAAAAAAACATTGGTTTTTGATCGTGACTGACATTAAATATTTTATCAGTTACCGAAGAAGAGTAGAGATATGACAGTAAGAATAACTAATTGTTGGAAATATTGATTTTTATTTTATTAACCATTTATTTTACTGAATCTCTATTTTATTCGCCTTTAACATAAATATATCGTTTATGCTGAATTATTTAAAATAGACGATATAACAGTAAGAGTAATAACTATTTTATTGGAAATGCTTGGTTCTATTTTATTAACCTTTTTATTATGTTAAAGAAAAGCAGGCCTCCTGAATAATGTGTCAAGGTGTTTTATATTATAACATGTGTAATGAATAATGTTTTTGTAAATACTTAAGAATTTTAGGCTTTTGGTTTTTTGTTAATTTATTATGTTATTTAATTGAAATGTTTTTGGTCCTTGCATAGTTTAGAAAAATAGATATTGTACAAATTTTCTGACCTTGCATTGTTTAAATAATTCAAAAAAGAAGCTGATTAGCTTATTTGTTGTCATATTATGTTTTTTAGTAGTGTGAACCCAAATTTAAAAATTTATTTATTTTTACTATTATTCAATAAATAATATTTTATATGTTATCTTTATTATTGCTTTTTTATATTAAGCCACTCAAAGTTGTTTTTCGTTTTGCATTAACTGGCCGACTCATCTTTCCAATTTTTCAATAAATTATTATTTTTTTTTTTAATCTTCAAAGGTATAAAAAATTTTTTAAGTGCTACTTATGCTAATTATTATTACCCAATGGAAACAATTAATTTCCAGAAATGATCCGAAAGGACCGGCGGAAAGAAACCAATCCATTGACCAAGTTTAAGATTCTATATGCTGCAAAACGAATAATTAATTTTACAAAATAAAATAATTTGCAAAATTATTTAAACATTATTTATTTATTTATTTATTTATATAATGTGATGGCCTTAAGCATTAAAACAACCAGCCACCAACAGGTGGCTGGGTACAAACTATGGACTTAAGGTTTTAATAAATAATGCTTAATCATAACAAATACATAGCCATTAATATTTTTCTTTTCATTAGTAAAAAAAAATTCAAAACGTCGATATAGTGAGTTATACTGGCATTTTTTATATTAAATTTTGAAAAAAAATGTCGATATAGTAAGATTTTACTATGATGTGCTATATCCAGATGTCGGTATAATCAGAGTGACGTGTATTGAATAAAACGATTACCGTATGTTACCGATTAGAAGAAACTACCTAATGAAAGCAATCCCCTAGAGACTAAGATTACAGTCAGACCTCTCTAAGTGCATAGCGTCGGGACCATAGTAAAAAATTGAGAAAATATGCATTTAAAGAGGTTATGCATTTATGGAAGTAAAAATCCATAAGTGTTATATTAGTTTGGGCCAAGAAAAGACTTGCATTTATGGAGGTTTTTCATATATATGCATGCATTTAGGGAGGTCCGACTGTATTATGTTCTACTAATAAATAAAATTAGACTCAAATAGAAGCAATCCCTTCACTTTGGCTCGAAATCATTCTCTCTTTTTTTTATAACATTTTGGTTGCTTCTATTCGGTATCATACGTTATATGCTTTAGAATCAATTTTAAAAATACTTAATACAATTACAGCAATTATAGTGCCTTACAAAACAGTGTAACTCTGTGATTTTCGTGGTAATTATATCAGTAAATTTCAGAGGTCTATATTGTCTATCGTTCATATTTTTCAATCAATGATGTCTATTTGGAATTTGTTAAATCTCTTAGAATCGTGATTTTAAATTATAATCGAATCGTGATTTTTTGATCCTCAATAGGTCACACCTTTTCAACGATTACCCAGTATCGCAATCAAAATTATACCCAATATGATTATTGACCAGCAAAAGATCATACTTTAGTATAACGTTACACGACCATGAAAATTCATATGATGTAATCATGTTCATTCAAATTAAAATTCAGCCGATGACTCCTACCAATCATTATCATAAATTGCCGGATAACACCAATACTGGGCAAATTGTCGAATACGATAATTTTGCTCAACCGGGCAAATGATTGGCCCACATGCTGCAAAGCGGTACGTGTTCATCTGCCCCAGTTTGCCAAATTACCGTTATTTGACAAATTTGCCCCAGTATTGTATACTTTCGTGTACTAGCAAACTGTTTTCCTTGAGCGATTTTACTATCTTAAAACACTATCCAACATGCAACGTTAACGTCTCTTTTGACAATATAGAAAACTGCTCTTAAATTGATATGTTTCAATAAGTATACACACAATAAAATTTTATTAAAAATATAAAGTCTTCTGTGTCGGAATCGCACGCTAGTAATATTATAATTTTAGAGTTAACAATATTTACTATATTTTAGCAATAAGACATTACAATATAATTTTATGATTTCTACGGTAAATAATATGCTAAATGCCGTAATCGTATTAGTCTTTCCAACGTCATATATATATTTGCCCGTGAAACGATTTAATACTCAAAACATTAAAAGATTTTCAAACACTTTAAATTAAAGAAACTTTTAAAAGAAAACTAACTATGATAGTTAATTTTTCCTAGTAATACAACTTGTGATGATACAAAAACATACAAAAATTAATGTATGCCCGTAGAACTAACAACATATATCTTTGCCTCGTCACGAATTTTATCTAATTGTGTCATAAAGGCAAAATGTCCTATGCCTCCTGTGAGTATACTACTTAAACCCGATCTAGAAGTCCGTAAATCACCATCAATTATATTCATATGATAAGAAAATACGGGTCCTCCAATATCTTTATTATCATTTGCAGTCTGTATAACGTACAAGTCACTATAAGGATCAGTTTCGCTCAAATAAAGCGCACCAAACGCTCTTATATAACCGCAAGTAACATGTGTACCGTAGCCCGATTTACATAAATGAGAGCCAACGCTAAATCTATGATTGACATAAACTATAGGAAGCTCTGGGTTATGAATAGAATCGGTATGCCTTACAGACGGCAGCGGATTGAGATTTAAAGGCTCTCGGTGTAAACGGAAATCGAGATTATTAGGTATTTTGAGGATGGCAAAATCGATTTCCCTTTCAAGTCGACCCATTCCTGTCATTTTTCCAATATTATTGCGCACGACTTCTGAATTCCATGGTAGAAGATAATAATTTAGATCAGGTCGAAAACAACGTCCTAAGGTTATAAAAACATCTTCATTTGTTACTCTCGTTCTTGCCAAAAAGCCTAAAGAACAAATAGGATTTCGAGTAAGAGGACATAAACCATCACCAGCTATGATAGGAGTAACCATCATGGGAATGTCATCATCATCACTATCATCAGGAGGAGGTTGGCGTTTCATAATACGTAAATTAGAATGTTCATTAAGTAAATTTTGGGGATTCGGCAAATGCTGATATTCAAAACGAACATGAAGTCTACGGACTTCTTCTATATATTCAGCATTTTGTTGATCGAATTCATGATATAAAGTTACAATAACATCATTAAGCTCTAAATCAATAAAGGTACCAACAAAAATAGGATTATGCTCTTTAGTCACTCTAACT